CTGCTGATATGATCGTGAGGATGATGCTGATGATGATGATGATGAACATGATGATGATGACGATAATGATAATGATGATGATGATGATGATGATGATGATGATGATGATGATGGTGGTGGTGGTGGTGGTTGATGATGATGAGGATGCTGATGCTGATGCTGATGATGATGATTATGATGATGATGATGCTGATGATGCTCATGATGCTGATGATGATGATGATGGTGATGCTGCTGCTGCTGATGATGATGATGGTGGTGATGATGATGGTTATGGTGATGGTGGTGGTGGTGATGGTGGTGGTGCTGCTGCTGATGATGATGATGATGATGATGATGATGATGATGATGATGATGGTGATGGTGGTGGTGATGATGATGATGATGATGATGATGCTGATGCTGATGCTGATGCTGATGATGATGATGATGATGATGCTGATGATGCTGATGATGTTGATGATGCTGATGATGATGATGATGATGGTGATGCTGCTGCTGCTGCTGATGATGATGATGATGATGGTGTGATGATGATGATGATGATGATGATGATGATGATGATGATGATGATGATGATGATGATGATGATGATGATGATGATGATGATGATCATCATGATGATGATGATGATGAAGTTGATGATGATGATGCTGATGTGTATGATGTTGATGATGATGATGATGTGATGATGATGATGCTGCTGCTGCTGATGATGATGATGATGATGATGATGATGATGATTATGATTATGATGATGATGATGATGATGATGATGATGATGATGATGATGATGATGTGATGATGATGATTATGATGATGATGATGATGATGATGATGATGATGATGATGATGATGATGATGATGATGATGATGATGATGATGTGATGATGATGATGATGATGATGATGATGATGATGATGATGATGATGATGATGATGATGATGATGATGATGATCATCATCATCATCATCATCATCATCACGACGAGTCGGATAAGGATGATGCGGAGGAAGAGGAGGAGGACAAATGAAGCCCACTCTTCCTCCTGCTTGTGTCCAGGTCTCCCAAACGGTTCCACAGTGCGCGGGGTCGGAGCTCCCGATCGGAGGATCGCGCCGCATCGCCGACGCATCGATTATGCAGCCGGCGTCGCCGATGCGTCGGCGGCGTCTGCGCGATCCTCCGACCCCGTCTATTTGGACCCAATCTGGGAGGTAAGGCCTTATGGCCGATGCCACCAACCCTGGACGACGACCACCACGATGGAAGAGGCATTCGGGAATGTCGGGATCAGACGCTTCCAAAAATGCCCAAGAGGCTACACGGTGCCCCAAGTGGGGGTTTCTTTGGAGCCTTTTGGAGCCTCCTGGGACTCCCTGGCGGTTCCTTGGTGGCGCCCATAGGATGAGAGGTTGCCGGGAGCAGCAGGTGAGGTGGACGACGGGGAGAATGAGGAGCAGGAGTAGAAGGACCAGAGCACCCTCAGCACGCGCGACTGATGCTGCGAGGCACCCAGCCCTCCCAAGCCTCCCGAGAAGGCGATGCAGACAGCTCTTCTCCGTGCGGATTGTGCTCCCCTGGAAATGAGGGGCGATCCGCAGACCTGCCGAAGGGCCAGCACCGAAGCGGGGCGCGTGTGGTGACACTCCGCGTCTGAGTGCCCTCCGCCTCCTCCCGTGCTTCGGGTTGACCCAGAAGGGGGTCCAGCGACAAGGGGGTGGTGCAATAGATTTGGTGCAATAGATTTGGGGAGTTGCAGTACACGTGGGGCGTGCAATACATTCCGGGGCGCAAGTGTGTTGCTGGACTGTCGCGTTCAACGCATTACCTGCAATACAATGTGATTCGATTCTCCTGCGCAATACATCTGCAATATATATATATATATATATATATATATATATATATATCGCCCCAAATCTATTCCACCACCCCCTTTCAGCTGGACCCCCCTTTGGGTCACCCACCTCCGCGGCCGCCCTGTCTGCTTCTGTCCCTCCCCTCCTGCACGCCGGCCACCCCGCGCTTCGGTCGCCCCGATCGCTCACCGCTGGTGCAGCTCTGCTGCCTCGCCGCCGACGAGAGAGTATGTGGTGACTCTCCTTTGTCTCTGCCATTTTTTTTTTTTTTTTTTTTTTTTTTTTTTATTTTTATTTTTTCTCTGCCTTGCCTGGAGTGGGGCGACAGGAGTGGTGGGAGACCTACGGGTTGGTTTCACAGTGAACATTCCCGTTCGGACTAGTATTTGGCCGCATGCGTGGCGCGGCGAATCACAGCGAGATCCAGAGGGAATTGTCTTCCATCCGTGTAGGTGCCCGAAGCTCTGGGAGAGGACGTGTGAGGCGCCGGCTCGAGAAGGCCATTCTTCTCTTAGGCCGCTGGAGAAATCAAGTTTTTCCCAACCATCCTGTGGTGTCGGGTCCTCGTTTTGAAGAGACAGCTCCCCGCGTTACCCCTCTCCTCCTCCTCCTCCTCCTCCTCCTCCTCCTCCTCCTCCTCCTCCTCCTCCTCCTCCTCCTCCTCCTCCTCCTCCTCCTCCCCCCCTTCCTCCCCCTCCTCCTCCTCCTCCCCCTCCTCCTCATCCTCCTCCTTCCCCTTCCCCCTCCTCCCATCTCTGCCTCTGCCCTCCGCACCAGTCCAATTTCGGCACGCCCCTCACACGTTCCGTGGTCCCATAGGGAGCTCCACCGAGGGCCCCCGTGGCCGCAGTCGCAGGCGCCCCCCGCGCCCAGTGCAGCGTTTCGCGGCCCCACAAGGGGCTCCACCGAAGGCCCCAGAGGCCGCGGCGGCATGCGCGCCCCGCGCCCAGTACAGCGTTCCGTGGCCCCATGGGGCGCTCCACCGACAACCGCAGTGGCCGCGGCCGCATGCGTGTCCCCCACCCTGTACAGCGCTTTGGGGCCCCACAGGGCGCTCCACCGAAGGCCCCAGAGGCCGCGGCCGCCCGCATGTGTCTCCCCCACCGAGTACGCTGATTCGTTTCCCCATGAGGAGCTCCACCGGAGGCCCTGGTGGCCGCGGCCGCATGCGTCCCCCTCGCCCAGCACAGCGTTTCGTGGCCCCATCATACGGAGCTCCACCGAAGACCGCAGTGGCCCTTGCCGCATGTTTTTCCTCCACGCATTACGGCGCACCCCTCATGCGTTGTGTCGCCCCATAGAGAGCTCCACCGAAGCGGTATCCACAACGCAGTACTCACAATTGCACCTGTTTGGTTTTTCTTCGACAGGATAATTATCTCAGCCATCCTGTGTTGTTTGGGTCCTCGTTTTGAAGAGACAGCGCCCCGCGTCGTCCTCCTTCCTCCTCCTCCCACTCCTCCTCTTTTCTCCTCCTCCTCCTCTTCCTCCTCCTTGCCTCCCTCCCTTCTCCCATCCCTGCCTCTGTCCTCCGCATGTCCTTCTAGTAGGTCGTCCCCTTCTATATTTCGCGGCGGTCCTAAGGAGATCCAACTAAGGCCACATACCAGGGTCCGTATGGCGTCGCCGCTTCATGTCCGCACACCCCTCATAGGTTCCGTGGCCCCATATGGAGCTCCAGCCAAGGCCCAAGTGCCAGGGTCCGCATGGCGTCGCCGCCTCATTTCGACACAACCTCACACGCGCATCGTGGCCACACTGGGAACTCCAGCTGAGGCCCACATGCCAAGGTCCGCGCAGCGTCGCCGCCTCATGTCGGCACACTCCTCAATCGCGTCGTGGCCCCATGTGGAGCTCTCCAGCTAAGACCCCGACGGCAGGGTCTGCAAGGTGGCGCCGCACCGATTTCGGCACAGCATTCAAAAGCATTGTGGCCCCATACGGCGCTCCATCGAAGATCCAAATGCCAGGGTGCACATGGCGTCGATGTTTCACGTCGGCATGACCCTCACACATTTCGCGGCCCTATAGGCCTTAGGGAGCCCCACCAACGGCGCCAGTGGCAGCGCCCCCATGGCGGCACCTCTCCAATTCGGCACGCCCATCACACTATTCTTGGCCCCTATCGGGCCTTCCCCTTCCTTCGTCCCACCTGCCTTGCTGTACTCACGCCTTCAAATGGTTGGGCCTGTCGCCAGGATCATTTGTTGTTGTAGGGCGAACGAGTGTAGACAAGTTTGAGGCGAGAGCGCGATTTCGAACATGAGCCTGGAAGAGAAACGTATCAATGACGCGCCGCAGTTGGGCGCTCGTCAGCATGTTACTCTTTGTTCCCAACCATCCTGTGGTATTGGGTCTTCCTCTTGAACAGACAGCGCCCCGCGGCTTCTTCCTCCTTCCTCCTTCCTCCTCCCCCTGTTCTCTCCCTCCTCCTCCGAAGTCCCTCCTCGCCGTCATTTCGGCACTTCTCTCACGTTTCGTGGCCCCATGATGGGGCTCCACCGAAGGCCCCAGTGGGAGGGTCCGCATGGCGCCACCGCGCCTATGTTGGCACACCCCTCACACGTTTCGCGGCCACATGGGGAGCTCCACCGAAGGCCCCAGTGGGAGGGTCCGCCTTGCGCCACCGCGCCCACGTCGGCACACCGCACGCTTCGTGGCCCCCCTCCTTCGTTCCATCTGCTTCGCGATACTCGCAGATGCATGGGGTTGGGTCCTTCGCCAGGGCAATTTTTGTCTGGGGCTTGGTGCTTCTTGAGCAGGAACGCGGTGATCGGTCCCACGACGTCTTGTCATTGATGTTGTCTGTGGTCTCCCGCATTATTTCTCTCCAATCTTCCTCCTCCACTTTCGCTCCATTCCCTTGCCTTCTTCCTCCTGTCTCCGTCTCCCTGCGCCACCACCCCCGTCGGCCCAGACGACCAGCCGTTTGGGCGCTCCTCCTGGCCACCGCCGCCGTCTTCGCCGCCGCCACCAGCGCTACCGTGGCCGCCGCCGCCACCCCCGCAAGCGCCGCCGCCGCCGCCGCCGTTGTCGTCGTCGCCGTCGTCGTCGTCGTCGTCGTCGTCGTCGTCGTCGTCGGCGTCGTCGTCGTCGTCGTCGTCGTCGGCGTCGGCAAGGGCTCCTCTGCGGGCCGAGGCGCGCCACGGGTGGCGCCACGGGCGCCGAGGGACCCGCCGGCGGCTGCCCGCCGCGACGACGCCGGGCGCCTTGGGTGCCCGGGGGCGTCCAGGCGCGCGGCGCCTCCGCCGCCACCAGATGGTGGTCGGCTGCTGCTAATCCCTGCTCCTCCCTTCGAGTAGAAAGTCGATTACAGAATTGACTTACCCCAGAGTAGGTTTATTCGTCGGGTTGACGAAACATGCGCAGAGTAGTCGTAGAACTACGAACATTCTACGAATTTCAGTCGTAGGTTCGACGAACACATCAATTTTGTGGTAAATCGATTCCGTAGTCGACCTCCTCCTCGATCCCTGTCCTCTCCACCTCCGCCTTCCCCCGAGACCCCGGTGCTGCAGTTTTTTCACAACAGGCGTTCTCGCCCGGATTCGGACCACGGGACCCTCACAGATGGATGCGGCTCGAAAAACGACGCAGAAACACGGGGTCCGCGGCTCTGGTGGTGATTGTTTTGCGAAGCTGCAGTTTTTGCGAGACGTCGGATCTCAGGGTCTCTTTCCGCAGTCCTCCCTCCCCTTCCCCAGAGCAGGCAGTGGTACTGAAACCGCTACCCTTGCTTGCCTCGCCGCCACGGCCGGATTCGCAACGAAATCTTGATCGGAACGCGCCCAGGGGGAGGGCCCTGGAGTAGCGGAATCGGTATCTTCTTGTCCCCCCACTTCAACCCCCTCTTCTCTTGCCCCATCCTGCTGCCTTCTCCTCCTCTCTCCCTTTTGCTCCTTCTCCTGCCCCCGTCCTCCTCGTTGCCGTCCTCCCTCCAGCTTCTCCTCGCGCTCCTCCCTCCTACAGTCCCTGCTGAACCGCGCGGGCAAGGATGCCCAGCTTTGCTGGAGCGGGCTGCCAGATCTCGTGCCAGTGCCCAGGCGCTGTCGTGAGCTGTGCTTGGTGGCCCCAGGCTGCCAGGACGGGCCGCCTGCCGACGCTCCCAGACACTCTTCGTTGTTTTTTTTGTTATTGTTTATTGTTTTTCTGTTATTGTTATTGTTATTGTTTTTGTTTTGTTGTTGCTGTCGTCGTTGTTGTCGTTGTCGTTGTCGTTGTCGTTGTCGTTGTTGTTGTTGCTGCTGTTGCTGTTGCTGTTGCTGTTGCTGTTGCTGTTGCTGTTGTCGTCGTCGTCGTCGTCGTCGTCGTCGTCGGCGTCATTGTTGCTGCTGCTGTTGTTGTTGCTGTTGTTGTTGCTGTTGTTGAGTTGTTGTTGTTGTTGTTGTTGTTGTTGTTGTTGTTGTTGTTGTTGTTGTTGTTGTTGTTGTTGTTGTTGAATATTATTTACTTCTAAAGAATAATTATTGTTTGGGCCCCCTGGTGCACGCCCCCCTCGCCGCGCCTAGGCCGCAGCCACATTTTCTATAATTTCGTGAGGAAGTCTCAGGCAAAACGGGGGAGCCCGGATACCCGGTTGTTTTGTAGACGCCCGCTTTCCCTTCAAAAAACAATATTACAATGACATGTCTTGTTCTAACATAACCAAACTTCAAGAATCCTTTGCAAAAAATGACACGAAGTGCACACTCGCGCGCGCAAGACGAAATCCTTCCAAAACCTTCGTTTTCGTAACGATTTTAACATAAAACCATGAAAAACCCAATGGTTTTTCAAAAAAAAAGTTCCAAAAAATCATCCCGCGCGCTCTTGCGGATTTCTTAGGAAACCCAATACTTTTTCAACATTTCTGTCAAACGGGCTCGTGCGAGCAACTTTTTCACGTGCTTCGAACTTCTCCAACAACGGTTGCGCACCTGCCAGGGCCATCATCCCTGTCAAATAATACCATGCGGGACACATTTGTTTTTTCTTCGCGCTCGCACGCCGAAATCTTCAAAAACCATTGGGTTTCTTAGGAATTTTAGCACCGCGCAACATAAAATCATACGAATCGCACCGTAGGTCCTCGAAAAACATCTGTACGAATTTTCAAAATTTCTACCCGCGCGCGCTGTCCGAATCATTGTACAGACAGTACCGGCGTCGTACTGGTTTACCGTGGTTTCCTATTCTAGCGCCAGGAACACGTTACCACCAAAAACCAGTACAGGTGTCCAGTGTTGGAACAGGGGGAAAAGTCGTATACTAAGCTAGCGTCCAGGAAATGTTACCACAACAAGTCTTCAAAACAATTGTCAAAATTTCATCCCGCGCGCTCTTGCGGATTCGTAGGGAACCCAACACTTTTTAAACATTTCTGTCAAACGGGCTTTTGCGAGCAACTTTTTCGAACTTCTGCAACAACGGTTGCGCACCTGCCAGGGCCATCATCCCTGTCAAATAATATCATGCGGGACACATTCGTTTTTTCTTCGCGCGCGCACGCCGTCGTCGTCGGCCGCGGGGGCCCTGAATAGTAGCCACGGTCGTCCGCAGACCACGAAGTGAAGTGTCCGAACGTCATAGGGCGGGAAGCTGGGTGTGGGTGGTGGCGAAGAGTCGTTTGGAAATTTGGTAGAGCTTGAACCGGCCCCCCCACAAAGTGGGGGTATTGCCCGCCTCCTATGAAAACCCTGGCACTGGTGAGAACGGAGTGTCCCCACGTGCTAGTAATTGTTGTTGTTGTTGTTGTTGTTGTTGTTGTTGTTGTTGTTGTTGTTGTTGTTGTTGTTGTTGTTGTTGTTGTTGTTGTTGTTGTTGTTGTTGTTGTTGTTGTTGTTGTTGTTGTTGTTGTTGTTGTTGTTGTTGTTGTTGTTGTTGTTGTTGTTGTTGTTTTGAGTTGCTGTTGTTGTTGTTGCTGTTGCTGTTGCTGTTGTTGGTGTTGTTGTTGTTGTTGTTGTTGTTGAACATTATTTCTTCTTAAGAATAATTATTGTTGGGCCCCCTGGTGCACGCCCCCCTCGCCGCGCCTAGGCCGCAGCCACGTTTTCATCATTTTCGTGAGGAAGCCTCAGGCAAAACGATGTGTACCAGACCCGGTTGTGTTGTTACGATTGGTTTTCCCTTGCAAGAAATAAGCTAAAGTGGACATTTCTTGTTCTAACATATCCAAACGTCGAGAATCCCTTGCAAAAAAAAAAAGTAAAGTGGACATTCGCGCGCGCAAGACGAAATCCTTCCAAAACCTTAGTTTTCGTAGCGCTTTTAACATAAAAACATCAAAAACCAATGGTTTTTCAAAAAAAATGTCAAAATTTCATCCCGCGCGCTCTTGCGGATTCGTAGGAAACCCAACACTTTTTAAACATTTCTGTCAAACGGGCTTTTGCTAGCAACTTTTTCGAACTTCTGCAACAACGGTTGCGCACCTGCCAGGGCCATCATCCCTGTCAAATAATACCATGCGGGACACATTCGTTTTTTCTTCGCGCGCGCACGCCGTCGTCGTCGGCCGCGGGGCCCTGAATAGTAGCCACGGTCGTCCGCATGCCACGAAGTGAAGTGTCCGAACGTCATAGGGCGGGAAGCTGGGTGTGGGTGGTGGCGAAGAGTCGTTTGGAAATTTGGTAGAGCTTGAACCGGCCCCCCCACAAAGTGGGGGTATTGCCCGCCTCCTATGAAAACCCTGGCACTGGTGAGAACGGTGTGTCCCCACGTGCTAGTAATTGTTGTTGTTGTTGTTGTTGTTGTTGTTGTTGTTGTTGTTGTTGTTGTTGTTGTTGTTGTTGTTGTTGAACTCTCACTTCTGAAGAATAATTTTTGTTGATCCCCCCCGTCCGGTGCACATTGTTTTTTCGATTGAAGTGCCCCTCCCGGGGCTCGCACCCAGTTTTCTATCAGGGAAAGTCTTGAGCGTCGAACTGTGTCGTTGGCCCCCGGTTTACAACAACAACGGCTCCCGCCTGAGACTTCCTCACAATTTAGCCAGGACCCCCGCTCCCGCCCGAGACTTTCTCGCATTTTATTCAGGAATCGCGCTCTCGCTTGGGACTTCCTTACAATTTATTCAGGAATCGCTCTCCTGGCGCTCTGGAGTCGCGCTCTCGCTGGAGACTTGCTTGCAATTTACTATAGAATAGCGCCCTTGCGTTGGACTTTCTTGCAGTTTACTCAAGCGCCGCGCTCCCGACACCCAGGCACCCAGGAGTCGCGCTCACGCTTAGGATTCCCTCACAGATTACCTAGGAATCGGGATCTCGCTGCCCTTCGTGGCCCCGTTGCAGCCCTTCGTGGCCCCCTCGCTGTTTCGTGGCCCCGTTGCAGCCCTTCGTGGCCCCCTTGCTGCCCTTCGTGGCCCCGTTGCAGCCCCTCGTGGCCTCCTCGCTGCCCTACGTGGCCCCGTTGCAGCCCTTCGTGGCCCCCTCGCTTTGTTTCGTGGCCCCGTTGTAGCCCTTCGTGGCCCCTTCGCTGCCTTTTGTGGCCCCGTTGCAGCCCTTCGTGGCCCCGTTGCAGCCCTTCGTGGCCCCTCGCTGCCCTTCGTGGCCCCATATATGTATGCCCTTCGTGGCCCCCGCTCGTTCGCGCCCGTGGTTGCCCCATATTCATGCCCTTCGTGGCCTCGCTGTCGCCCTTCGTGGCCCCCTCGCTGCCCTTCGTGGCCCCGTTGCTGCCCTCAGTGGCCCCGTTCTTGCCCTCCGCGGCCCCATGTACGTATGCACTTCGTGGCCCCCGCTCGTTCGCGCTGGTTTTGGCCCCATGTGCATGCCCTTCGTGGCCCCGCTGTCGCCGTGTGTGGCCCCCTCACTGTCCTACGTGGCCCAGTTGCTACCTTCAGTGGCCCCATCGTTGCCTTCTGTGGCCCCGCATTATCTGCCTTTCGTGGCCCCCGCTCGTTCGCGCTCTTCGTGGCTCCATACGCATTCTCTTCATGTCCCCGCTGTCGCCCTTTGTGGCCTACTTCGTGTCCTTCGTGGCCCTGCTGTCGTTCTCTCTCGCTCTCGATTTCGCTCGTCGTCGTCGTCGCCGTCGTCGTCGTCGTCGTCGTCGCCGTCGTCGTCGACGTCGTCGTCGTCGTCGTCGTCCTCGTCGTGGTCGGTCCCCTTTTCGTCCCTCTGGGGGTCGGGTCGACGGTCCGCGGCCGCCCCGCCGATCAGCGCTGCCGCTGGCCAGGCCGACGGTCCGCGGCCGCCCCGCCGCTTACCAGGGCCCGGCCTGCAGGGAAGAAAGGTATACCCCCCAAAAGGGGTTCGATCGAAGATGGAGAGGGCGGGTATCGAGGGTTTGGGAAATACGCGTTATTGGACACTCGAGCAGATAAGGGCGAACAGTCTTAACATGATTGTTGTTGTTGCTGTTGCTGCTGTTGTTGTTGTTGTTGTTGTTGTTGTTGTTGTTGTTGTTGTTGTTGTTGTTGTCGTTGTCCTTGTCGTTGTTGTTGTTGTTGTTGTTGTTGTTGTTGTTGTTAGTGTTGTTGTTGCTGTTGTTGTTGTTGTTGTTGTTGTTGTTGTTGTTATTGTTCTCGTTGTCGTTGTCGTTGTCGTTGTCGTTGTCATTGTTGTTGTTGTTGCTGCTGTTGTTGTTGGTGGTGTTGTTGTTGTTGTTGTTGTTGTTGTTGAACTCTCACTTCTGAAGAATAATTTTTGTTGATCCCCCCCGTCCGGTGCACATTGTTTTTTGTTGGTGTTGTTGTTATTCTTGTTGTTGTTGATGTCGTTGTCGTTGTCGTTGTTGTTGTTGTGGTTGTGCTTGTTGTTGTTACTGTTGTTATTGTTGTTGTTATTGTTGTTGTGACTATTGTTGTTGTTGTTGTTGTTGTTGTTATTGTTGTGGTTGTGGTTGTCGTTGTTATTATTATTGTTATGGTTGTTGTTGTTGTTGTTGCTGCTGCTGTTGTTGTTGTTGTTGTTCTTGTTGTTGTTGTGGTTGTGGTTGTTGTTGTTGTCGTCGTTGTTGTTGTTGTTGTGGTCATTGTTATTGTTAGTGTTATTGTTGTTGTTGTTGTTGTTGTTGTTGTTGTTGTTGTTGTTGTTGTTGTTGTTGTTGTTGTTGTTGTTGTTGTTGTTTGTGTTGTCGTTGTCGTTGTGACTGCTGCTATTGTTGCTGTTGTTGTTGTTATTGTTGCTGTTGTTGCTGTTGTTGTTATTGTTATTGTTGTTGTTGCTGTGGCTGTTGTTATTGTTGTTGTGTTTGTTTGTTTGTTTGTTTGTTTGTTTGTTTGTTTGTTTGTTTGTGTCTCTACGCGACGTGGCTCCTGGGCCTCCTCCTCGGGGACCAGTCCTTGGTCCTGAGCGTTCTCGCGGCGGTCCCCGGGGCCCGGCGCCGGGGGCCCGCGGCCGAGAGGCACTCGGCAGAGGCCCCTCGGCCGTGCTGCTTCCCTCGCGGCGCGAGGGGGGCGCCTGGGCACCCCCTCGTCGGCGGTCGCTCAGGGGACACCCCCTCTTGGTCGAAAGTGTCTCGAGGGGGAGAAAGCAGCATAAGCATGAACCATCTCTCTAGAGAAACCTTCTCGAAGGAGGAGAGAGGGCATAAGCAAAGGCTTTTGACGCTCCGCGCGGATTCCTCGGATCCGCGCTTTGGCCTCCCCCCCCCGGCGGCGCCTCCAGCGCCGCCCCTGGCGCGCTCTGCGCGCCAGGGAGGGGGTTCTGGCGCAGATCCAAGAAATCCGCGTGGAGCGCCGAAAGTTCATGTTCATGCCGTTTTTGATTTTTCTACTTTCGCCGGAGGGACGCGGCAAGAACGGGTTCGGTTGTTCCGAAATCCGCTCGCAAGCTGCCTGCACAGGATCGCGCGTGAGCGCCCTCGTCTCCAGTGTCTTGGCATCGCTCGGACGTGTATATTTTGCATCTTGGAGCATCCTGCGGAAAACGTACGCACGAGGCCGACGAATGCGCGGGGAATAGACGTCCGAGCGATGGCAAGATAGGGCGTGCCGCGCTGGCGGCCCGCGCATCAGCTACCGCGTCAGGTCGCCGTGCCATCTTTTGCGCAAGGCCCGCTCGCCTTCCTGTGCGGGTTGGAGGACGCAACCCTCGGTATCGTTTAACCAATCCCCATCCCCATCCCCATCCCCTTCGAGACTCCCACCAAATCACCCCCCCAGTTGGGGATGCACCCCTCGAAACCCGAAGGGAACGACCCGTATCCCCATCTAGGGTGGTAAGTCAGCCAGTGGGGCCCAGGCCACGCCGCTGGGGATGGGGATCGGCTCATCGCTACTCATAAGAGAACGAACAACGACATAAACATACAATCTTTTGAAGTCCGCGCGGACCTCTGAGTTTTTGTGTTTATGCTAGAGGAGGAGGAGGAGGAGGGAGGAGGAGGAGGAGGAGAGAGGAGGAGGAGGAGGAGGAGGAGGAGGGAGGAGGAGGAGGAGGAGGAGGAGGTTCGGTCCCCCCACACAGTCCCCTGGTTCCGCGCCCTGCCCAGGGTCGCGCACCCCGGCAGACGGCCCGAGTCCCTGGGTCCTCG